ACCTTTTCCGCGATCGACTGCTGGCAATGAGTATGTTATTATTGCTTCTGACTACTTGACTCGTTGGGTGGAAGTTGGTGCTCTTGCTAGTGCCTCTGCAACTGCTGTTGGATACTTCCTCCTCAATCGAGTGGTGTTCCAGCATTCTTGTCCAGAGCGGATTCTTTCGGATAATGGTCCTGCATTTATGGCTGAGGTATTTCATGTTTTGACATCTCGGTTGGGGATACGCCACACTTTTACGAGTGCTTATCATCCACAATCAGACGGTCTGGTGGAATGGCTCGTTCGGACATTCAAAGGGATGATTGCGAAGTATGTGAACTTTCAACATTCGGATTGGGATAGTTATTTGCCGTCTCTTCGGTATGCTTATATCACAGGGGTGCAGAGTTCTGTTGGTGCTTCACCATATAAATTTCTATATGGTCATGATCCAATATTACCAACATAGCTGAGTTTACCTTCGCAATTGCCATGAGCTCCTGATGCTAGGTCATGGGATCAATATTTGACAAGCATTCTTCCACTTGTCCGAGCAGAGTCTGCTGAACACTTAGGCCGCGTACAAGTGGGACAATAACGGCGCTACAATTCCCATCATCGTCCACCTGCGGAGTACAAAGTGGATGATTTGGTGTTAGTCCGTTTTCCCCATCTTACGGTACGTGGTTTATCTAAGGGGCTCCTTGCGCAGTGGAAAGGACCGTATCGGGTGTTGCGGCAAGTTGGACCACAAGTTTATGAGGTTCGGCATGACGTTCAGCAGGCCGATCCTCCGGAAATTGTGCATGTGCAGCGGTTAAAACGCTTTATACAAAGGGATCAGGAGCAATTAATACCGTCTACAGATCCACCGATGCCTCCTCCTGACGTTCCTCCAGATCCCGGCCCATCGACAAAAGAACCCTAACGGCCTTCCATTATTCCGAGAGGAGGGGATGATGTGAGGGCCAAGTGTACGGCTACGATGCCGTATACTAATATTAGCGTAGTGGATTTTGGTAGCCGTCGGATTGGTTTCAATCCGAACCACTCGCTCCTGTATATAAGCTAGGGTTTTTGAGCTAATTAATATGCACATTTCTGTATTCCCTTTCCATATTCCATGCACTCACATATATGTATATATATATATATATATATATATATATATATATATATATATATATATATATATATATATATATATATATATATATACATACATCATATCACCTTTGGATGGATCAGCCTCAAAATAAATCCTTTCTATTAAGAAGTGTCCACAAAATGGCTGTGCACCCTTGCTTGGCTTGCCACTGAAACAAAAGAGCTAAGCCCCATCTTTCTCTGTGAATCTCTCCTAGGATTGTGAATTTGCCAAACGTTTTACCTGATGAGGTTGAGATGGGAATGGTGGAGCACCTCATGAAGTGAATGGAGTTTTATCAATTGTGGTTTCGATATCTGGATGATCTGGATCTGGGAGCTTTGTTACTGCCTCTGCTAGCAACTGAGGCTCACGAAGAGCTGCTCGTGGCCGAAAACTAGCTTTCTAAAGCAGACCAAAATTACAATTCGTCCATACATTTCAAAATTGGCTTACACAGAACTCAGAAGAAAATATATTTTCAAAGCTAAGTATCGACAAAAATTATCCCACCGAAGTTTTACTCTGGGCCTTCTAAAAGCTTTCTCACCATTATCTTGTGGATTGCATGAAGCTGCTGAGATCTCACCATGATTCCCTCCACAACATCACGCTGTGCCCTCCACTCCTCTATGACCATCGTCAGCTTACTCAGGTACTCGTTTAGATTCGTCACATCCGAGCGCCCGAGCGTGCAACAGATGGCATGCAGAATGGATATCTCCTGTTCCAGGTTCCATTGCAGCAGCTCCCGCGAGCCACTGGAGACCCCTTGAGAGCTTTCCAGCATCTTGAGCACGTCCACTCGCTTGGAAGCCTTTTCAGAGTCGAGCTTGGAGCAATGCGCTGCGCTGCTTCGTTCTTCACACTCTGCCTCGGCCGCCGCCAGTAGCTGCTTCCGATTCTCGACGTTTCTTACGCTGCTCAGCCACTCCGAATACTCTGCCTCAGCTTTCTTCTGGAGATCCATAGCTCTCGCTTCTTCCTCGATGAGCGTCCCCGCTTTGGACCCTTCAGCCAGTAGCTCCATTAATACGCCTTGGTCTATCATCTTATCATCATAATCTGGATGCATAGCACGACCAACCTGAGAAAAATCAGGTCAGCTATATGAGAGAAACTCACCATCTAAGCGCTGCCAATCGTTAAAAGAATCAACCACCTGTTCCAAAACTTTGTGAAAGTCGGGACATTCCTGGTGAGACGCGAGGTCCCTCACCAGCTCCTTCACCCTCAAGTGCGCGAGCTTGTACCAGCTCGAGCCCAGTTTCTCCATCACCTTCACTGCCGACGACAGTTGCAACTCCAACACCTTCCTGTCCGTCGTCGCCACCGCTTCTTTTATCATCGTCTTCCAGAATACCACCAGATCACTCTTCTTCAGGCAAGTGACGCACGAGGAGCGCCGATCAGACTCCTTGATGGCTTGCAGCGCACAGTCCAAGTGCGCGAGGTGGTGACAAGCGTCGCATCTCAAGTAGTTCCAACTCTTTCTCGCCTCGACTTCGCCGTAGCAGATGTTGCAAGTGCATCCCGGACAGAAGTCCCGACCCGAGCAGCAAGCCTCGATCTTACAGCTCCCACAGTCGAGCAGCACGATCTCGGCCGTCTTCTTGTCCATGGGAAAGCTCTCGAGCGTAACGTTGTCTTGTTCCTCGGCGATGCACTGGAGTACCAGCTTGTGAGCCGCTTCGAGAAAGCACGACGGACGCTGGCGTCTGCACGACCAGCTGCTACACATCTTGACGAGCTCGTTCACTCCAAAGCTTGATGGAGCCACTTCACCCCGCAGGACATGGAAAAACATGCGCAGCGCTTCCCTGGAATGCTTGCGAAACGTGTTCCCGTCACGGGCCTTTGCAGCGATGGCCTCCTGGAGTTGTTTGATCTCGTTGGCGCTCTTGTCATCAAAACGCGATTCTTCTTCCAGCAGCTTGCTCATCACGTAGGACTCTTGAACGAGGGCGTGACTCCTTGTGGAGGCCAGTATGGTTGCCAAGCTCACACTGTCCGGGATGATCATGTCGCTTACAAGCGGTGGAGATCTCAAGTTTTCTTCTTGAGTAGTCTCGTTGTCTGGAGGGGGAGTTTCATCTCGAGTTCCATCGCCAAAGGCCGAAGGCCCAGGTGTCTCGTTGTCTGGCGGGGGAGTTTTATCTCGAGTCCCATCGCCAAAGGCTCCAGGAGATACTTCGTCCTAGAGAGAGCAACGTGAAAGACAAGAAAAAGCGCAAACTTTCAAACCTCGCTGATAACCATCGTAGCTTCGTAGCCTTCGTCGAGTATCTAGATGAAGAACAGCACCGATAGAAAGAACAAAGATCTCTTCCAGAGGCGAACCTTTTCAACGCTTATTAGCTCTTGTCTCTTCGAGACTCTAGTCGGGGACCCCATTTCTAGGCCTCTGGACGATCGTGTTCGCTTTCTCGTAGATCGGGCATTGACCTTCTGCCGCTTACGCTGCGGAGCGGTGGTACTCGAAGTAGGAGTAGCTGCGATCTTATCCTCCGGCGCGGGAGCTCCACCCGGCTCGCTCTGCAAACCTACAAGAGAGCTAGAGCAAACAAGAAAAGAAGAGAAAGAGAACATGCTACCGCTGCGTTCGAAATTCCAGCGGAACTGCGATGGCGATGGCGTGCCCGGCGTGGATTCCAGATATGCCCGGAGCTGGACCTGCGATCGAAAGCACTGGCCATCCGGAGAGTAGAAATAAGTGTCGCTCACGCGATTCCCCACTCGCCATCGCCATTCCGGCGGTGCGATCGGCGGCCCCGTCCCGCTCTTTCCAGCGAGCGGATGGCTGCGAGCTCGCCGGCCGGAGGAGCCTGCCATGGCGAACGAGGAACCCTAGCGGGAATTGCCACGTGGATGGCACTTGGCTCGGTTTACTGCCAACTAGGCGCCACGTAGCGCGGAGAGGTTTGCAGTTTTTGGGCGCGGCCAGTAGGGAAAGAGAGCATCCATCGCGATGGGCTAGGCGCAGGGTGTAGCAGCGCGATGAATCCTTCCAATGCGGGGCGAGAGGAGGAGCGGGATCGCGAGCGCGGTGGCGGCGCCGATCGCCACCACAACAGCTTGGAGGTGACCATCATCTCGGCGCAGGGATTGCGCGACACTTGCATCTTCGGGCGGATGAGCCCCTACGCGCTGGCCTGGATCGATCCGGAGGTGAAGTACTGCACCCATGTCGCGCACAACGCCGGCTCCAATCCAGCTTGGGATCACAAGATGTACATCCCCCGCCCGGGCTCGCTGCGCGGGGTGGAGCTGTGCGTCCAGATCTTCAGCCGGGGCAGCGGCACCAACGATCCCATCGTGGGCAGCACCAAGATCCCGCTGGGCGACGTGAGCGATGGCGGGCTCCAGTACATGGCGTGCCAGTTGCAGCGGCCGTCGGGGAGGATCCACGGCCTCCTCAACATCTCCGTCCAGACGTGCCACTCGGACCGCGAGGCGCTCGAGAGCTCCACCCTCAAGCGCAGCCTCGAGGTGTCCGGGTCTTTCAAGGCGCCCAGGAGCTCCTCCTCGTCGGACGAGGATCGCGATCAGCTGGACACCACGCCTGAGGATCACCCCGAGGAGAGGGAGAGAGCCCAGCTCCACGATCATCTGGCGAGATTGCGGGTGGATCCGGGCACCACTGCGGTGGCAGCATCCACTTCGTCGTGCGCCCCGACTCCGGCGGCGCCCGCGCGGTCCCGGAGAGCGTCGGCGATCCTCACAGCACCCGACATTCTTGATCTGGGCGAGATCGAGGACCCCAGGGATCGGCCGCTGGGCGAGAGGGACCGAGAGCGCGAGCGGGAGCGCGAGCGCGAGAGAGACCGAGACCGCGAGCGGGAGAGAGAGCTGCGGGAGAGGGAGCGGGATCGAGACAGGGAGCGGGAGAGGGAGAGGGATCGCGAGCGCGAGCGCTTGAGATCCGGGCAGTATGGCGTCTTTGCCGGTGGCGGAGGCGATCAGCCCGGCGGAGGCGGCCACCAAGGCGGCGCTGGCAGCGGCGGCGGCGATGCCACTGGCGTGGATCTTGGGGGTGGCGGTGTAGAAGGCGGCACCATTGGAACGTACTATCTAGGATCTCAAGCGACCTCGGCTATGGATCATCTGGCTGGCCACTAAGTGGGTTGACGAACTACTATTCTTCCCAAGATCTTGGAGGATCTGACGCATTCTTCCTTGTTTGCTCGTGTGCCAGGTCCTTGCGAGAGATATTTGTGACGTCGCCATCGCGTGCTTGCTCGCTTTTATCTTCAAAGGAGAAGCGAGAAGAGTGACACCGCCCCATAGAGAAATTATTTCATTCATCAATCTTCACGGGTTTCGAGCAAAATATTGTTTTACCTAGGGTCCGCTCGATCGATGGCGGTGCGTCGCCGGCGCTAGGCGCGAGGCGCGCGGCGGGCGGGGCAGCGGCGCGGTAAGAAAGATTGCGTGACGGTTTGGGATTAGAATTCTCATCTGGGAAAGAAGACAGAAATTCTCCGATTTCTTCCTCCGCCCTGGTTCCTCGATTTCCTGCTGTTCTTGATCGATCCGGAGCGCCAATGAAGCAGCTCGTAGATCTCCTCCACCGGCGCAAGAAGGCTTTCTTGATCGCCGCGGCGCTGGCTGCCGGGGGCTGCGCGTCCTACTCGTATTACCGCTCGGAGTCGTTTCAGAGAAGGAAGAGGCAAGTAATTCTCATCTTGGATGGATTGGGGAAGCTGCTCCAGGCGGCGGCCAGCGCTGCCGACTCGGCGTCTCTCATCTCCGGTGATCTCAAGGATTTTCTGGAATCGAGCAACGAAGAAGGCGAGGTTCCTCGCAGCATCCGGCAGCTCCTCAAGATCTTGCGCTGTCCGGAACTCCAGGATCTTGTCGCAGTCACCACTTCTAGCGTCTGCAAGGTGATTATGGCTGATACTTCTCCTGAGGATACTTTTCCTTCCAGGGCTCATCGTGAGAAATCGCTAGACAGGAACAATCTGGTCATGTATAGGGACAGGCTCCAATTCAGGGCAGAGAGCAGTGACGGATGGAGGCGTGAGAGATATGAGAACTTCGAGGTGAAACGAACAGTTCCAGGGAGCTCTAGCAAGCCTAGCAGAACAATGAGGCACGAAGGACTTTCAGAGAAGTTGCTAAACAAGCTTTTCAGTGACCCCGGGAAAGGTTTTGCGTCAGCCATTGTTGGAAGTGCGGTGAGAAACTTGGTGGTGTGTTACTTCGAAGAGATGGAGCGCAAGGCGGAGCTAGAGAACGAGTCGGCTCCAGAGATCTTCGAGCTGGGAGCCAACGGGATCGTGCGAACTCATGGAAGATTGAGTGAAGAACCAGGGGAATGGAAGCCCGCCAGGCTTTTGGATCTGGCATGCAGCACCAAAGGAAAAGCCCTTCTCGCGGAGTGCATACAGATCTTTGTGGAGGCCACGGTGTCGACGTACTTGGACAAAACGCAGGAGGTGAATATGTTTGAGGAGATGGTGGAAGCGGTGACAAAACCCGTCCACCGAGTTCCGGCCCAAGAAATGATCGTGAGTGTTTGCAACGGGGCCGTGGATACGTTCGTACGAACTTCATACGAGGTTCTGTCCGAGAGCTCGAAAGAGACGACGCGCCTGGACATGACACCGGTGAGTTTCAATAGCAGCGAAGCGGTTTCGGCCTTGCAACAGGATCCTGGGAATTTTCTCGAGAAGATATTCGGTGCCTTGACGATTCCAAGCAATCGCATGCTCGTCATGGATTTAGCTGGAAAAGTGACAGCCGAAGCAGTGAGATCCTTCTTTGGCCTCGTCATAGCCGTCTCCGCTCCATATGTGAGAAGTTCCAGGGACGTGGTTCATTCCAAGGCGGCCGTGGTCAGGACTCGTTTCTCTCAAGACGCTGCTACCAAAGTTCTGGTGTGGGTCACAGTGTGCCTTGCCCTGTTCTTACACATATTTGTCAACACCAGCATCTCACTGAAATGAGAAACAATCCAGGTATGTGTGTTTTTGTTTGTCAAGCTCGTGCTTTCTTGGTTCTCATCTCCTTCATGCAGGCCCGGCATAGATCCAGCCCAAGCACGATGTTTAGAACGTCCAGGCCGAGCATTCCTGAGCTAGCTAGTAGCAATTCAATCTTACTGGGGAACTTGGTGGCATCCATGTAGAGCTTCACGGATATGACTCCATGCACTAGTAATCTGGAAGTGAAGTAAGTGATCCAGTTGAGAATCCATTCCGTGATCACGGCGACGCTACCGAGCTTTCGTATGCCCGTCATCCGGCTTATGCGTCTCCAGTGCAGGAACACCGAGTGCATCTGTTAGAAGCTAATGAAGTTGGTCCAGGTGAAGGTAGCAATGCAAGGGAAGTTTTAGTCACCTCGCAGAGTAGCGTGAGAACTAGATAGTTTATAGAAACGTTCCGGAGGAGTGCCAGGGTGAAGCAGTTTAGCAGCAGCCAGTGATGGACGAGAAGCGGAGGAAACCATCCTTGATAGAGGTGCCTGCGAATCATGTCGACTTGGTCATAGGCGAAGTAGCCACAGGAGAAGGCTAGCACCGAGTACGCTCCAGGCCAAGAGCGAGAGTACAAGCTTTCAAACTCCAGCATTTTTGCGACGGATCCAGTGCGGTAGAGCTCGACGAGCACGCAAGCTCCAACTGGAGGAAAGCCAAGTTTCTAGCGCAATGAAGAAAGAGATGTGGGAAGGAATTCTTCGCGTACCAGAGAGAGACACGAGCAACGAGTGCAGCAACGAGACACCAATGTTCGTGAAGTCGTGGGGTGAAGAAGCTGGTGTGAGACGAATTTTGTGCCTGGAGAGGGAGGAGCCGAGAGCTCCATTGAAAGACTGGAAGAACACGAAACCGGCGATGATGGGCAGTAGCCGCGATCGACCATTGAGCAATTCGCTAGCTACGACCAGCAGCCACACAAGCATCATACTTCCAAACAGCCAGGCGGCGAAGTCGGGGACCTTGTTCTCGCGCTCGGCCATGGTTGGGACTGTGATTTAGCTTGCGAGCTCGCCCTAAAGCTAAGAAGTGAGGCTCATGGGAAAGACGAAGGTGTATGCCGTTCGCAAGGGGAGGCAGCCAGGTATCTACGAGAGCTGGGATCAATGCAAACGCCAGGTACTCGATTGAGCTCTTCTCTTTCTCTTCTTTTCTAAAATCTTTCGTTTTGTTCTTCCTTTTTGGAGACTGATGGATTCAAAGGCTGTGAGTACAAGAGCTTCAGCTCCTTCAGTGACGCGGAGAGCTACATGAACGGGATCAGCCCAACCAAGACCGAGGCCGTACTTCGTTCGGTGATGGGTGATGCAGCAGTCGCCAAGCCAAGACCGAAAATCGCTTGCATCTCCGCTGATGCCGTCTCTGCCGAGGTAGCTCAACGTCTTTCTTTTGAAACAAAGTTGGAACTTTCTTTTGCTCCAGGAACTAGTCCATGTTTCCTCGTCCAGCTGCTCCAAGGTCAAGCAAGGAGCTGTACCGATTCAAGCCGGACGAGTGTACCAGGTAGAGTTTGATGGTGCATCGAAAGGGAACCCGGGAAGAGCTGGAGCTGGAGCTCTTCTCAAAGACCCAGATGGCAATGTGGTAAGATTTTTCCTGTTAAAAAATTGTGTTTTCTTGGGTACTCACTCGCAGCTTATTATGATCCAGGAATGTGAGATGAGCGAAGGTGTGGGTCACGCAACCAACAACGTTGCCGAGTACCGTGGCTTGATCCTGGGCTTGAAAACAGCACTAGACAAGGGGATTAAAAAGATAATTGTGAAAGGAGATTCCAAGCTAGTCTGTGAACAGGTAAAAGCTTTTCTTACAGTTCTTTCATTCTACGGACGAGTTTCATCAGATAATGGAGCACTGGAAAGTTCGGAATGAAGGGCTCAAAGATCTCTGGCAGGAAGCAATGTACCTCAAATCGCAGTTCTTGGAGTTTAAAATCCAACACGTCGATAGAGTGAGCGAAAGCCCAGGTTTTCTTGTTTGATCGAAAGTTTCTCCTGGCTGGTATCAGGAATTTAATCCTCTAGCCGATCAGCTGGCCAACATTGGAGTCACACTGCCAGGTAATGAAGCTCGAGTGTATTGAAAATGGAAGCCTACTTACATTTCTTTCATCTCGTGATTCTAGAGACCAAGTTCGTGAGCTCTTCAAGGAGTTGAGACGCTGTTATTTTTCTGGAGCGCGATCATCCTTGCTGGGGCTGTTGCGGGACTTGGATTTCCTCCTTTGGATCGTTCTGGTAGAAGAAAGAAGAAGAAAAAATGCTGCATTTTAAGGGCAAAAAGAAAGAGCGCCTTACTCTGTGCTCGATGTGCCACTGGATCGCGGAATACAAATTCATGGAGAAATTGATCCCGAGGTAGATGGTCGCGACGCCCAGCAGCGATGTCACCGTCTTGTACCCGATGTCTGCGATCTTCCTCATGATGCCGCGCCTTCGCTCTTCGCAAGAACCCTAAAGTATGAAATAGGGTTTATGGGAGCTTCTTCTCTATTCGGGTTTTAGGAGCTCTCATGGATCAGCAATCCACGACGATGGCGGCTGCGGAGGAGGCGCCTGCGCCAGTCGATCGCTTCGATCTCAATGTAGGTTCTCGATTCTCCTGGAGTATAGCGGATAGAGAATTATGCGGAAATTTTGCAGTCCAAGAGGGTCCAGGATGCGTTTGAGGACTGGGGATCCAAGACGACGATCGGTATCGTGGCGGGCATGATCTTTGGAGGGCTAAAGGAGGGTCGAGCATCCGCTGTGAGATTTTACTTCATTTGCTCCCTTTAGATTTTCATTCGTTTGGTGTGTTGTTGTAGCACTGGCAACCTTTTCTTCCATCCCAGGCCGGAAGTAGCACTTGGAACGAGCGGCAAAGAGTTTGGAGGAACGTTTGGGAGCAAAGATTCGTGAGAGTCGCAGGAGGAACGGTGTCGGGAGGCGCCAAGCTTGGATTCTTCACGTCCATGTACTGTGGCCTCCAGCACGCTCTTGCGATCTACAGAGACGTGGATGATGCTTTCAACACCGCCATCGCTGCGAGCGCCACCGCTGCAACCCTGGGACTTGTTTGTAAGTTTCGCTCTTTCGCAGGCATTCGTTTTCACTTCGCATTTCCTCTCTAGAGCCTCCGCATTTCTCGTTCTCGCTCGATCTTTCTAACGATTTGATCAAACAGTGCCAGGATCGTTGAGATGGCGATTGAGGACATCATCTCTGGGGATTGTTCTTGGAGCAGTAGCCGGGCTTCCCATCGGTGAGCAAAAAAAGAAATCCAAGCTTTCGATCGCTCTTCATAGCTGACTTTGAGCATGGTTCCACAGGCTACATCCAGACCTCGCTCAACAAGAAAGCAGAAGAGCTCATGAAAAACGCTCCAAGCCCAAGCTCGTAAAAAAGCTGCCGTATGTAGCGTGCTAGAAATACGATGCACCGTATGATTTTCGTACTGCTTGGACACGTGTTGGCACCCAACGCGGTGCACGGGGGCCAGGCCGCGCAAGAAGCTCTAGGGGGTGACACCTGCCCCTATTTCCGTACGACTCGATTCTCATGGTTTACCTAGGGTTTGTGCTCTTGCGTGGGGAAAGCGAGCCTTCTAGAATGTGGGCTATGGCGAGCGTGAGCGACATGGATCGCGGAATCTAGCTGCTTCGGATGCCAGATTGAGGTGTGTATCCAGCGCGCGGATTTGCGATGGCGGCGGCAGCGGCGGGCGAGGATGGGGCGAAGCATGGGGCGGGATCTATCGCTCGGCAGACCTCCATTTACTCGCTCACGCTGGACGAGCTCCAGACGACGCTCGGCGAGCCGGGGAAGAATTTCGGATCCATGAACATGGACGAGTTCCTCAAGAACATCTGGACCGCGGAGGAGAGCCAGGCAATGGCGGCGGCCATGGCGCCGGACAACAGCGCGCTGTGCCGGCAGCCCAGCCTCCGGGCGCCGCTGCCGAGGACTCTGAGCAGGAAGACGGTGGACGAGGTGTGGAAGGGCATCCATCGGCCGGGCGAGGAGGATCAATCGCAAGGCGAGAATGGGCGAGAGGCGGCGCATGCAACGCAAGCCACTCTTGGAGAGATGACTTTGGAGGATTTTCTCATCAAGGCCGGGGTGATGAACGAAGAAGCTGGCGCTGCTCAGGACCCAAAGCCTGTCGTGGCTACTGCGAATGGAGGCGGAGTTCCTCACGCTGCTGCGCTGGGTATGGAGTCCAACCAGCAGGGAGATTGGCTGGCGTCGAACCAGTATGGGAATACTGCGACGATGGCTGCCGCGATCTCTCAGCAGCAGCAGCAGCACCAGCAGCAGCAGCAACACCAGCAGCAGCAGCAGCAGCAGCAACGCCAGCAGCAGCAGTTCCTCCAGCAGCAAGTGGAGGTGGCGGCTTACATGAACGCTTCAAAGATGGGAAACGGAGGAGCTATGACTGCGCTTGGACAAGCTGGGATGTTTGGAGCGAGTTCTCCACCGAGCCCCGGATCGGACAGCCAAGGGAATGGTTTTGGGCTTCCTTCGATGGGATTCGGGATGGAAGGAAGGGGTCGGAAGAGGGGACTGGACGGACCGGTTGAGGTGGTTTTGGAGCGGAGGCAGCGACGGATGATCAAGAATCGCGAGTCGGCTGCGAGGTCTCGAGCTCGCAAACAGGTTGGTTCTCTTTCTTCCTGTCTACTCTTGATATTTAGCATTGATGATGTCAAAGCTGAGACAAAGATTTGTTTTATGTTTTTCCAAGGCTTACACAGTGGAGCTGGAAGCCGAAGTGAGCCACCTCAAGGAAGAGAATACGAGGCTCAAGAAGCAACAGGTCAGATCCTTGGACTTTTTGTCTCCTTGGTTTCTAAAACAACGAGGAAACTTGCAGGAAGAATGCGAAGTGAGGGATAGAAAGCAAGCAAAGGTACTGGAAAAGAAATCAATCTTGCTGAGATTTATTTTCCTTTCTTCGCAGATATTGGAAGCAATTGTATCCAAAAGCGAGCCTATGTGTTTACCAAAGCCAAAGCCATTGAAGAGAACGCTAACTGGGCCCTGGTAGATGTTAAGTCACTGCTCCTCTTAGCTATTAATGTGTACATTAACATTACATTAAGTTAACTGGAGTCAATCTCATCCAACGGCGTGGATGTGCCAGTAAACCATAGCCACAAGCTTCCACGAGCGTTTAAAGGCCGTTTGATCCAGTACGTGGACGGTCCAGATGATGGCGTCCATCCAAAATCCTCTATCCCAGACCTAGGTCTTTGGAGTGGAGGAAGAATGGCGATTGCTGTGGTGGACGCGTCAGGTACGTGCACGTCTTCTATGTTTTGCCCCGCGGCAGCTGCGTCGTCCTCGAGCGTCGCATTCGCAGCGTTGCCTTCTCCATCCTCGTCGTCGACAAGAATCAGCGCGTCGTGGAGGAAATCCGCGAGCTTGAAATCGCAGCGGAGAGGCGGCACAGGCACGGGAGCTCTCAGGCGCCGATTCTCGGCCGCTTGCATCGTTTCCGAGACCAAGGAAGCCTCTCCAGGTGGATTTCTCTAGATTCAATTGGATTCCAATGCCTGATCTGTAGCACTTTCATTTTGAGAACTTTTAGTTTGTCTTTTCTATGATGTTTTCCAATGCTGATCTTCGATTTTGTGATCTCCAGCTGGAGCTGTGGATGACACGACCTTTAAATCTCTAGTGCTCGAGTCTGAGATTCCCGTTTTGGTGGACTTCTGGGCTCCCTGGTGCGGGCCGTGCCGGATGCTGGACCCGGTGATCGACAGCATTGCCGAGAAATACAAGGGCAGGATCAAGTGTTACAAAGTTAACACCGATGACAGCTCCAAGACTGCAACGGAGCTGGGAATTCGCAGCATCCCGACGTGCATGATCTTCAAGCAAGGCGAGAGATTGGACACTGTCATAGGCTGCGTTCCGGAGACCACTTTGATTACCACCATCGAGAAGTACATATGAAGCAAACAGGGGGGTATAGCCTTTGACGTTTGCAGCTTGTTGCTCATCCGACCAGCCAAGAAGCCGAGAGAAAATAATTACTTTGGTCAATTGAGCATCTTCTGTATTATACTTTGTCTACCTTCATTGCCAAGACAAATTTTATATTTAATCTTGTTGATATACTTAAGGTCATATAAAAGGGGCAATGATGTTGTAGCTCTTTTAAACACTGTTAAAATATACATTGTGAGAAATTAATTAGTATATATGCATTTAGATCGAAGGAAGGAAATCATAAATTGTCCTTAAGTCAAATATACTTAACACAGTGATGAGAATTTATATTATTAACTTGCACTTGCTAGTATTAAAAACCCCTGCAGTATTAAATTTAATCCTTTAATATTTACTAAGTGATAGTTTACCATGTCTACCAAGACACTCTTACTATCATACCCCTTAGTCCTAAATAGACATTTTATATAATATATTAATATAATTAGCATATTATCTAACTAAGGTAATACATGACATGAATCTTATAAATTTAATTTTTAATTTAACAAAATTATAACAATCAAAATCTAACTGGGCAGCATATGCTATTGTTTCTAGTGGTCTAATCCTCAATTAACAGATTTATTCAATCACACTTAGTATGACCATCTGTAAATAATTTCTCCCATTAGAAACATAGACATTTCATATAAATATCACTCGAGCTATTTCAGGCCAAGGTAGATAAACAGATCCTCCTCTGACGCAAAAGTTAGAAGTCTACCGTCGGCACTATATTCCATTTTCTGCAAAACACCAAACTCAAAATCAACACATGCTCACAAAGAATCTTAGCGTACATTAGAATCAATGCGAGGAGGCTGAACGTTAGAATCCGACTGCTGGGGTGTCACCAGATGATCTACAGCATCCGGCACTTCCGCCTGATCAGAGGGGGGCATCGCTTTAGAATCAGACATCAATGCGAGGTAAGTTTCCGCTTCCGCGCGCGTCGCAAAACCCTTAAACAGAGCACCAGGGGTAGCGATGAACCTAGAAAAAATGTAAGCCCAGAATGAAGCAAGCGCAGCAAACCTGTGCACTGCAGTCCTCCCATGTGTGGTAGATCCCAGGCTGACACAGCACGGCATACACATTCTTGGGCGAGTGAAGACTTAGGGTTATTGGGTTTAGGGTTTTGTTGAGGCGCGATGAGCGGCAAATGCGATGAGTGTGGGCAGAGCGCCGCCAAGTACAAGTGCCCCGGCTGCGGCTTGCGCTCGTGCGGCTTACCCTGTGTGAAAGCGCACAAGGCTCGAATCGGCTGCACTGGGAAGCGCGATCCGACAGCGTTTGTGAAAATCTCGGATTTCGATGACAATCGGATCATGTCGGGTAAGTGGATTCGATTTGCACCTAGTGAGGATTCTTATGTGGAGTTGTAGATTATAATTTTCTCGAGGAGGCTCTGAGAGTGGCTGATGTTGCGAAGCGATCGAAATATAAGTCTTTTGTGGGAGGCCGCAAGCCGGGCGTGTTGAAGGAGCTGATCTACCAGGCTCGCTTTCGCAAAACCAAGTTTGTTCACATGGCAAATGGAATGTCGAGAAGGATAGCTAATACCACGTACTTCAACAGGAAGTAAGCTCTCCCACTTTCCTCCTCACGGATTGTTCTTTGCTAAAGCTTTAAATGCACTCTAGGCGGAAGTGCATGTACTGGAGAGTTGAATGGATCTTTCATTCCACCGACATTCGCCTTGTTGACGAGAAGTATGTTCATCCCTGCTCGACTCTTCAAGTGTATTGACTGACACGATTCCTCTATTTTTTCCAGTTTGGACGAGCATGTCAACCTTGGTACTGTGCTTGAGAAACATTTATCGCCCCAGTCGCACAGTCCGACTGCTCGACACCAATTGCGGGAGTTTTTGCAGCAACCAGTAGATCAGCTGAAGCTTCTCTTCAAGAAAGAGCTCGATGATGTAAGAACTTGTGTGTGTGTTTTGTATCCGGTTGCTAATTCTGGTAACCATCAGGCCAAAGAATCGTACTACGAGCTAAACATCAACGAATCTCTTCGCCAGCAGCTTTCTTTCAAGACAGTATTGGAGTTTCCAGAGATCAGGGTCGTGCTGCCGTCCGATATAGACAGGTTTTCCATGGTAGAAGAAGAGCCGAAGCCCGTCAAGCTTGCTGTTTCGCCTGTTAAATCAGTGGCGGAAGAGTTGGTCGAGCAAACTGGTAAGACGTTTCGAGAAGAGGAAATCAAGGACGAAGAGCAGGACAAAGAGCAGGACGATATGAAAATGTATGATTTCCTCGGAGATCTACCAGGACAGGCAGACTTGCTATGGAAAAGTATGGAGGTCCAGCCGCCAAGTTTGATGAATGACGTGGAAGACGGAGAACTCTCGGGCTAGTTTCTGGGACGCACAGGCTTTCTTTTCCAAAAGTTTTGTAGAATTCGCATTAGAGTTCGATGAAAGCAAAGAGAACAGATGAGATGAAGATGAGGAGACCAGAGGCCGACAAAACTATGAGGGGGATTCCAGCGCGTTCCGTCCAGCTGCTATCACAACTAAAAGGCCCCAACCTCAGCTCGATGAGACTAATCATAGACAGCATGAGGAAGATCGTCCCAGCGACAGAGCCTATGGCCGACGCCAGCATTCCGAGCCTCAAGAGGCGGTTGTTAATCTCCGCGGCCTGGGATTCTTCGATGTGTGTGCTGTTGGCGAATATGATGTAGAGCTTGAGTCCGTGAGCTACAAGGCTTGAGAATAGGAAGGAAGCAAACGCGAGAACTTCGTAAAGGAAAAGGTACTTCACTGCATCGGGTCCGACGGGGCAGTCTGTTTCCAAAGCGGCTGCTTTGGTGCTGGAGAACGAGAGGCCCAAGAACACAGCTATGGTGAAGAAGGAATTCACAGCTACGACTTCGTCCAGCGTGGTGACATGAACCTGGGTGGCTCCTTTGAAGGAAACCATTCTGCGGGAGGAGCTCGATGGGAGCAGCGTCTTGCCGTCCATTGGGAGAGAACGCAATAGCAAAGGTGTCGAATTACGTGACAAAGTTCTCGACAGTGACAATTCCGTGGGGACCGTGTTTACGTTCTGACCGAGTCACGTTGGAAGAACACGCTGTCTCCCGGGTGCCTTGTCAGTGAAGGAAAGCATAAAAGACAGCCGAGATGAAGATGACAACGCCAGTAGAGACGAGAACGATGAGCGGGACGGCAGCCTGAAGCACCCAGGAATCGCCGCAGACGAGGCTTCCAAATCTCAACTGGACGTAGTTGATGAGGGAGAGCATGAGGAAGACGGTTCCAGCGCCAGATCCGACTGCTGACGCGAGTATCCCCAGGCGAAGCAGCTTGTGGTTCATGGTTGCCGAGTCCACCGAAGCCTCTTTGCTGTTCTTGAAAACCATGAGGAGCTTGAGGCCGTGCGCCACGAGGCTCGAGAACTGGAAGAAGCTGAAAGCGACGACTTCGTAGACAATGAGACGCTTGAAAGTGGAGGGGCCGGGGATGCATTCGTGCTTGGCGTCGTTGGGAGAGCCAACGTGGAGGTTGGAGGTGGTGAGCGTGATGCCGACGAAGACCGCGACAGTGAAGAAGGAATTGACACTTACGACTTCGTCCAGGGCCGTGACGTGAACCTGGCTTGTGCTTGCGCTGAAATGCCGGCGAATGCTCTCCAGCTCCGATGGAGTTCTACAGCGAGAAGGAACTGCTTGAGGAGGATCAAGTCGGAAGAAGCTGTTACCTGGCTACTCGGTAGGGGATTTTGTCCATCGCCTCGCCATCATCTTCCATTTTTTGCGGATCGACCTCTTCGTCAACAGGGCACATAGGAGATTCGCAGATGGTCCAGAGGAATCCAATGCTTTTTTACGCCGAGATTAACGGGTGACTTACGGGCTAAAGGACGCTACCGTTTTCGCATGAAAGCTTAAAGAGGAAAGTCCAGATTTACGATGACACTTCAAGCAACGCATGCAAGCTACACGACTAAGATTTAGTAACTTCAGTTTACGGCAGTTGGAAGATCTGAGTTTCTTGGATCCGTATAAATTTCGAGCTCAGGAGATGGCACCGCCGCGTCGCGAAACCAACCAACCATGGGTGGAAGAACCACGCAGATTGTTGCGGCCGTTGCGTTTCTATGGCTGGCTTGTCTAGCTCGCGACCGCACTGCTGGTAAGTCATTCCTTCCTTGTATTATATTTTTCCTCTCGTTCTTATTGAGTCTTGTTTTGCTTGCATCCATCAGATGCACAAGGAATGGGAATCAACTATGGAACTCTTTCAAACGAGATTTTGCGTCCGCCAGAGGCTGTTGGACTGATCAAGGACCTCGGGTTTGACAGAGCCAAGATCTTTAGTGCCGACTCGTCAATCATCCGGGCGTTTGCAAACAGCGGCGTGAAGTTGTCGGTGATGGTGGCCAACCAGCAAATCCCGGAGATAGCATCAAGCCAGAGCAGTGCAGACGCATGGGTGGAAAAGAATGTAGCTGCGTACTATCCAAAGACAGCCATAGAATCCGTTCTGGTCGGCAACGAGATTTTATCAGACAGTAGCATTCGAGAGTCGACTTGGCCGAAGTTGGTTCCGGCGATGGAGAAGATTCAATCAGCGGTTGAGAAGTTTGAGCTAGCAGGTTCCATCAAGGTGTCAACGCCCCTGGCTTCCGATGCTCTGGGAAACTCTTATCCTCCATCGGCTGGCTCGTTCAAGAGTGACATTGCAGAGTCCATCATCCAGCCGCTTCTCGAGTTTTTGTCCCGAACGAACTCCTTCTACTGCGGGAACGTCTATCCATACTTTGCTTGGGCTGGCAATCCTGGCGAGATCCCACTCGACTACGCGCTCTTTGGCTCGCAGCAGGAGGTGGTGAGAGATGGGTCACTCAGGTACACAAACTTGTTTGATGCGATGGTCGATGCCACCATCTCTGCAATCGAGAAGCTCGGCTTTAGTTCTCTCGATTTTGCTGTGTGCGAGACCGGCTGGCCGAGTAAAGGTGACGGTTCTCAGCCAGGCGCTACAGTCTCCAATGCTGCTCGCTACAACAACAGGCTGATCGCGAAGACCCTCAGAGCTCAGGGAACTCCCAAGAAGAGAGGCTACTTTCCGACGTATATCTTCGCTCTCTTCAACGAGAACCTCAAGAATGGTGCGGTCACTGAGCGGAACTTTGGCGTCACGTATCCGAATGGAGAGCTGGTTTACGCTTTGGATATCGCGGGTGGTGAGCGTGACACCCATGATGACGCTGGTTCTTCTGGTGGTGGAAATCGTACTGAAAGTCCTCCCGGCGGTGAGAATGGTGGTGGTGGAAACGGTAGCACAGGACGGAAGGAATGGTGTGTTGCCAACTCTGATGCTTCTCAAGCGGCGCTTCAGGCTGCTCTAGATTATGCTTGCTCCAGTGGAGGGGACTGCACTGCGATTCAACCCAACCAGCCGTGCTTCTTTCCGGAGACGATGGTTTCTCGTGCCTCGTATGCGTTTAGCAGCTACTACAACAAGATGAAGAGCTCCGGCGGCACTTGCGACTTTAACCAAGCAGCTCACGTAACCCAAACAGATCCAAGTAAGTTTTTTGTTTTGTTTTTCTTTTCTTACGAGCTTCTTTACGCAGGCTATGGATCTTGTGTCTATCCCAGTGCAGCATGATCGACTCTTGGACTCTTAACTATTACAATGGCTTACGAGCGGTTCGTTTATCTTTTATAGACTTACATCGTGTCACGTCTTTGCTTTGAAGTTCCAAGCCAAGCGCCTTGACAAGCTTTTGTGATGGATTTCAGAGGATTGCCATTGGCTTGGTCTTAATTCTCTAAGTTCTGGTGGTTTCTGCAGAGAATGAGAACGATCCTGTGTGCTCGAAGGAATCGTCTACTGTCCTGTTGTCCATGGCGTACGCGGTGATCAATCTGCCTTGTCCTTGTAGACAACGCTCAGAAGAGCATAGAGAAAAGGGAGGAAATCCTGACGAGAATGGAACTTTCAAAGTACCTGAGATCTTCTTTGTCCAATGCCCTTGACAATCCTACGACTCCGGTCAAAGTTCCAAGCCTCCACTAAGAAAGCACAGCTCGACACAACATCCGACAAGACTTGCAACAAAATGACCAACGAGGGATACGGTGCTCAAGGTGCCAAGCTGCGTCCATTCACTTCTTACTACAACGAGATGTTCTTCAGAGTCGGGCCATTCGCCTTCACTCCACACTCCGTACTTCAACAGGAATTAAGCTTTCCCACTTTCCTCCTCACGGATTGTTCTTTGCTAAAGCTTTAAACGCATTCTAGGCGGAAGTGCATGTTGACTGGATCTTTCATCCCACAGACATTCGCCTTGTTGATGATAAGTATGTTCATCCCTGCTCGACTCTTCTCTCGACTCTTCAGGTATATTGACTAACACAATTCCTCTATCTTTTCCAGTTTGGACGAGCATGTCAAGCTTGGTACTGTGCTTGAGAAACATTTATCGCCCCAGTCGCACAGTCCGAAGATCAGCTGGCTTCTCCTCAAGAAAGAGCCTCGATAAGAGTTTCTTTATATCCGGCTGCTAATTGTGGTAACATCAGGCCAAAGACTATGAGCTAAACATCAACGAGTCTCTTCGCCAACAGCTTTCTTTCAAGACAGTATTGGAGTTTCCAGAGATCAGGGTTGTGCTGCCCGTCCGATATAGACAGGTTTTCCATTGTAGAAGAGTTGCCTTGCCTGTTAAATCAGTGGCGGAAGAGTTGGTTGAGCAAACCTGTAAGACGTTTCAAGAAGATGAAATCAAGGACGATATGAAGATGTATGATTTCCTGAGAGATCTACCCGGATAGGCAGACTTACTATGGAAAAGTATGGAGGTCCAGCCGCCAAGTTTGATGAATGACGTGGAAGACGGAGAACTCTGGGACACAGGGAAACGGGGTTTCTTCTCCAAAAGTTTTGTAGAATTCATATTAGAGTTCGATGAAAGCAAAGAGAACAGATGAGATGAAGATGAGGAGACCAGAGGACGACAAAACTATGAAGGGAATTCCAGTGCGTTCCGTCCAGCTGCTATCACAACTAAAAGGTCCCAACCTCAGCTCGATGAGACTAATCATAGACAGCATGAGGAAGATCGTCCCAGCGACAGAGCCTATGGCCGACGCGAGCATTCCGATCCTCAAGAGGCGGTTGTTAATCTCCGCGGCCTGGGATTCTTCGATAAGGTTGCTGTTGGCGAATATGATGTAGAGCTTGAGTCCGTGAGCTACAAGGCTAGAGAATAGGAAGGAAGCAAACGCGAGAACTTCGTAAAGAAGAAGGTACTTCACTGCATCGGGTCCAACGGGGCAGTCTGTTTCCAGATCGGCTGCTTTGGTGCTGGAGAATGAGAGGCCCAAGAACACAGCTATGGTGAAGAAGGAATTCACAGATACGACTTCGTCCAGCGTGGTGACATGAACCTGGGTGGCTCCTTTGAAGGAAACCATTCTGCGGGAGGAGCTAGATGGGAGCAGCTTATCGTCCATTGGGAGAGAACGAAATGACAAAGGCGTCGAATTGCATAACAATCGAACTTAAAGTTCTCGACAGTGACAATTCCGTGGGGACCGTGTTTACGTTCTGACCGGGTTGCGTTTCGTCCGGGAGAGCATTCGCCGGCATTCCAGCGCGAGCACAAGCCAGGTTCACGTCATGGCACTGGACGAAGTCGTAAGTGTCAATTCTTTCTTCACGGCATCAGCATCACGCTCACCACCTCTAGACTCCTTGTTGGCTCTTGCAACGACGCCAAGCACGAATGCATCCCCGGCCCCTCCACTTTCAAGCGTCTCATTGTCTGCGAAGTCATTGCTTTCAACTTCTTCCAGTTCTCGAGCCTCGTGGCGCACGGTCTCAAGCTCCTCATGGTTTCAAGAACAGCAAAGAGGCTTCGGTGGACTCGGCAACAAGCTGCTATACTCGCGTCAGCAGTCGGATCTGGCGTTGGAACCGCTCTCCCACATCAACTGCGTCCAGTTGAGATTCCTGGGTGCTTCAGGCTCCCGCTCATCGTTCTCGTCTCTACTGGCGTTGTCATCTTCATCTCGGCTGTCTTTTATGCTTTCCTTCACTGACAAGGCACCCGCGAGAGAGCGTGTTCTTCCAGAAGGAACTGCTTGAGGAGGATCAAGTCGGAGGAAGCTGTTACCGGGCTACTCGGTAGGGGATTTTGTCCATCGCCTCGCCATCATCTTCCATTTATTGCGAATCGAGCTCTTCGTCTAAAGCAACGATGACACTTCAAGCAACACATGACTAAGATTTAGTAACTTCAGTTTTTTCTTGGATCCGCACCGAGTTCGTATTAATTTCGAGCTCAGGAGATGGCATCGCCGCGTCACGAAACAAACCGAGTCGGGCTCCGTCAGCTGTCCTTCGACACTAACATTTTCAAAGGCAAGGAAAAGGAACGAGAATGGAAGACAATACCAGAATTCCAGCACGTTCCTCTGCTATAGAGCCGAACAAGCAACGAAAGAAATTGCATCACCTTCAGAATCTGGAGATCTTTGGCAGGTCGTCAGCCCCGGTCCTGTGGTTACTTACAAGAGGAAAAGTGAATATTAGGACATGAAATGAGACGGTCAAGTGAAAATTAAGACAGGATAATGAAAAGAGACATACCAATTTTCCAACAGGTCCAGTTTGCCCTCTTCGCATGGCTCCTCTCACCTCGCGATTGCCCTATCCAAGGCCATGGCCATTCCTGTCGACAAGAGGTGAAACGACGGGTGAGCTAGGCCTGCAGCAAAATCCAAACCGATCTCTGCCCAGAAGGTGTGATGACACTGGTTCTGGTGGTGGAAATAGTACTGAAAGTTCCCGGCGGTGAAAATGGTGGTGGTGGAAATTGTAACACAGGACGGAAGAACTCTGATGCTTCTCAAGCGGCCCTTCAATCTGCTCTAGATTATGCTTGCTCCAGTGGAGGGGGGACTGCACTGCGAGCCATGCTTCTTTCCGGAAACGATGGTTTCTCACGCCTCGTATGTGTTTAGCAGCTACTACAGCAAGATGAAGAGATTGCAACTTTAACCAAGCAGCTCACGTAACCCAAACAGATCCGAGTAAGTATTTTCTTTTTCTTTTTCTTGTGTCCATCCCAGTGCAGCATGATCGACTCTTGGACTCTTAACCATTGCAGTGGCTGCTGTAGGCTTGCATCGTGTCACGTCTTTGCAAACTTGGGTTTTTAAAGTTCTGGGCCAAGCGCATTGACAAGCTTTTGTGATGGATTTCAGAGGATTGCCATTGGCTTTGTTAGCGCTCTCAATTGTGGTGGTGTTTGCAGAGAATGAGAACGATCCTCCTCCAGTTTCTGTGGTCGAAGGAATCGTCTACTGTCAGGATTGTCAAGGGCACTGGACAAAGAAGATCTCAGGTACTACTTTGAAAGTTCCATTCTCACCAGGATTTCCTTCTTCTTTTTCTGTCTTCACAGATGCTCTTGTGAGCGTTGTCTGCAAGGACAAGGCAGGCTTGATCACAGCGTACGCCATGGACAACAGCGACGACTCCGGTTACTTCCAGATCAAAGTTCCAAACTACGACTGCCTCCACCAAGAAAACACGACTTGCGTTGCACAGCTCGTCACAACATCCGACGAGACTTGCAACAAAATGACCAACGAGGGAGACGGTGCTCAAGGTGCCAAGCTGCGTCCATTCACTTCTTATTACAACGAGATGTTCTTCAGAGTCGGGCCATTCGCCTTCACTCCTTACACTTGCAACGAGTAAAAGCTAAAGAATGTGTCAAGGATGTCAGCTTTTTTACATACACACTTTGGAGAAATCATGTCTAGATGCTCGACTCGCTCGATTTTGCTCCAAAGATCCGGTTGAGTATTGACGCCAGCCTGACGCCACCTTGAGCTAGACGTTGCTCCACGATTGGAAGACGTGAAGAGAAGTAGTCATCTATGTAAACAATCAGTGAGGAATCGTCCTCGGAAGAAAACTAGAACGATTTGAAAGTGACGACTGACCTTCGAGATAGCTTCCTTCGACGGCGTCTTTGTAAGCCCATCTGCAAGAAGCGTGTATACTTTCTGTGGCATAGCTGCACGAGGAAGAACAAGCAAAGAAGTGTGGTTAATAGCTCAAACTCGAGGAGATTATTTTACCTGTCAATACAAGCTTCTGGATCGGTCTCACAGCTGCTCCACGCATCAAAGTTTTCCTTCTGGAAGAAAAAAGATAACACGTTGTTTTCAAGCAAGCCAGAAGAAACTAGGTCGAGTTCTTACGGTTATGCTCATGCTTATGTTACGAAGCATCCTGAAAATGTCGTGGTAGTATAGACGCTTGGCTCTATCAATAAATTCGGTATCCCAGATCTGGCACACAAAAAATCAGCACAAACAGAAAACTATGTTCGCTGGAGGATTATGAACTTACATGGTGTAAGTTTGCCTTTCGTCCAAACCAGTGGACATGGACGCCATTCCCTCCAGCATCAGCCGTAAAGGCTACGTGCAGAGGCTATACACAAAAACGCATGTTTTAGATCCTTTCGAGAGAGCAAAGAGGAAAGAAAAAAGAAGACCAACCTGGTGGATGTCTCCAACATAGTGAGCCAGGAAGAGCAGTGCCTCGGTCAAGTTATCTGGATTTAGAAAGAACATCAGACACTCAACACTGATCCAGCCAAGAACTTACATGATTTGTGCAAAGAGAGCTTTGCTTCCTGAAATGTTTCTAGCTGCCGTGAGTAATTGTTGATGGCACCGGCGACACACATATCCTTTTCTCCACGAGAATCGTGGCAGTCCCCTACGAAAAACCACACAAGGCCATGAAACTACCAAAGAAGAAAGTTTCCAAAGAGCTTACGATCGTAGTCATAGCCACAGAGATTGTCGGGCGTGTCAATGTAGTGTAGCGGGCCAGTCCATCGAAATCTATATGATCTGCGAATATCATCCGCCCAGGAGCACAATTCTGGCAAATCTCGTCCAGGGAGAAGCTCCTCCAGAGCGACCTTCGATTCGGAGCTAAGAAAAGGCTGCAAAAGGAAAGAAGAAAACTATGAATCTCCAAACGAATTGGAACTAAGCGCTGTACCTCAGCGATCATACAAGTGAGACGATGGCCTTCTCGCCCCCACGCCGCAGCTCCCACTGCTATGGAAGCAATCAAGATCACACACAGCGCCATTCCATACGCCTTCTCCGCCATAGCTCCTTACGCGAAGCCCTTGAAAATCCCCCTTTTTTTGCGCTTAGAAAACGCTTAGATATGCTTGCTGCTACGGCAAGAAGAATCGACCGGTAGCGAAAAGGATGGAGAGCTTCCATTCGATCACGCATTGGCATTCGATCGCGTATTGGCAAGAAAGCTTCCAAAAGCTTTAGCTCGATGAACAAAGCCATGAGTAAACCCTAAATATCGGGGACAATGAAGAAGAGGCGATGGCTGGAGCGCGATGGCGATGGCGCCACCGGGCAGTCGACTGAGGATTGCATGGCGTTGGTCGCGGATCCAGAGGTGAGAATGCGCTCCATCGCGATCTCTGGAATGATTGCCGGGGCGCGCGGTGCTCAGCTGGGGCCTGTGAGGGAGGCAATGCAACGGAGGCTGTGGGAGGAGCAGGAAATATCGGTGATCCAGCAGATTATCTCCGCTCTCTCGTCGATCTTCGCGGATGAAACGACCACGTCGTGCCTGCAGAGGTACTATCTCTTGGATGGCTGCCCCGAGCCGATCAAGATTCGCATCCTCGCGTCCCTCGTTCGGATTTGCAAGACGAGCAACGAGCATTCGGAGGTGGTGGCGGCACTCCAGCCGGCATTGTTGCAAGATCTTTACGGGAAGAATCCGGTGCTTAGAATGTGGGGCTTGAAGTTCGCGACGAAGTTCTTTGAGCAGCAACGAAACAAGAGCTGGATCATCGCTGCGCTGCACAAGAGATTTTTTGATACTCATGCTTTCGTGAGGAAAGCTGCCTTGGATGCTGTCATCTCCCTCGACGCGGTGGGATTTAGCTTCCTCGATGGTTTGAATGCTATTGCGCTCCGGCTCTTGGAGGATCACGTCTCGGAGTCCGTTCGACTGTCCGCCATGGAGCTTGTAAGTTTCTTTGCAAGTTTCCTTGTCCTCTGATATATCTCGTTTACTTTTGGCAGCTCCGGCTATGGGTGATGGAAGTTCAAGCTGGAGAAATCACGGCATCGCAACAACGCGAGACAAACTATACTTATCTAGAGGTAAGCCTCTTTCGCGCTCTCGATTAGAACTTTCAAGACTTCACTACCCAGATTTGCACCATGCTCACAGACCCGTGCACGCGAGTAAGGAAAGAAGCTTGCCGTGTGCTTGGCACTATGACATCAGTAAGCCAGAAAATTAAGTTGCATTCGGTGAATAAGAAGTCAGTGCTAGTCACCAGTGGTGATCCTTTGATCTCGTGCAACATTAATGGTAAATCGCCACGGACGGCAATTGTGGCGGGTGCTTTTGTTTCTGCTGTCGAGGATGAGTTCCCAGAGGTAGTGGACTTTCTTTTATCTTTCTTCTTATTACCATCTCGTGTTCGCCTGTCCGCAGGTGAGATCTGCTGCTGTGCAAGCTCTTTCCAGCTTGAGTCTGGGTTCTAAAGAAGTCGCAAATGCCGGTGTACTTGGGCTTTTCCTGGACATGTTGAACGACCAAGATCCCGCCGTTCGCAGGGCTTCGATTCAAGCGCTATATGACCTTGCTGACTGTGGCGTTTTCTGCGTGGAAGACAAACATCTGCGTGTGGTATGTGAAATTGGTCTTTTTTGCTACATGGTTATCACATCACTGATGTTCCAGATTACTGCTACGCTGGAAGACCAAAACAACGAGCTCCGACATGCGGGTCTAAAACTTTTGTCTTCCTTGAAGCTCCCGACGCTTGTCATGTTCGAGTCTGCAGTCCAAACTTTGATGAAGTGCTTAGATCGTCATCCGCAGGTGCCTTTGGTATCTTAATTTCTTTACATGACACTCGATGCTTCAGGATAGGAAGAACGTCTATGAGGCGCTATTATGCCTGGGGAAAGGACACGGCTCTCATGTAGAGGCTCTAAAGTCTGAGCTTTTGACTCAGGTAGCAAGCTTCTTCTTGGAACAATGCTACTAACATTGCTACTACTTTCGCAGGTTAAGTTCGTTGTGAATGGAGAGAAGGGGTTAGATGATCCCAGGTTAAAAGCTATCCTGAACCTTTGCTTGCCAGCATTGCGATCGACAGGCTGGATTTCTTCGTTGCTTCCCAGTGAGATGCTCTCCTGCAAACGAATTACGGATTTTACAAAAGAGCATACCCCTGTTGAATCTGGTGACAGTTCCAGTACGGTGTTGATTATGGTGCAGCAAGCTATCAAATGTGCTCTACGTGCAGGGAGCGTTTCAAACGACAACCAAAGAGAAACCATCCGGTAAAGAACATCTCGTCTGCATTGTTCACGCTAACCTGTCAAATTGTATCTCCAGCGGCTGCAAGAAGTCCTTACTAGTACTGGAGCGCACTTCGCTCGTCAATTTGGGACTGCTGTACATGGACTGCCTGCAACTGGTCGCACAAAAAAACTCGGCAAAAGAACCTGACCATCAGAAGCTTGGCTCGGTACTAGGACGCATGCAAACCTGTTTCTCTGGATTCTCAGCCTCAGGTGCTCTACAGTTGCTGGAGCTCAACGCGTTTTATATTGTCATCCAGGTGGAAGACGACGCCGAGCTCGTCCAGCGCTTCTCTCAGCTGGCTTCAATAGTCGAGGAAAGTAAGAGCTTGTCGAGCACTTCGGTAGCGTCGTTCTCGCTCTTGCAAGCAGTGGAGGAAAGTTTACGCAATCAAACAGATCCGGAGAACGTGAGCACTCTCAAGGCAGCTGCTGCTTCTTTCTGGCCGAAGCATGATATTGTCAGTGCCAGTGTCGAGGAAATGCGAGCCGATCTCGCAGTAAATTCCAGCAGCTTTGAGCACCGGCTGAAAGTTTTGACGGCGACGTATCCTTTTCACTTCACTGCGAGCGGTGCTGTGCACCACATTACAGCCGGAAGTAGAATCTGGGTACAGATGGAGCTGGAAGGATTCCCGTCTCAGTACAGGTGCTTGGAGCTCGAAAGGAAATCCAAGGAAGACAAGTTAGTCGAGTTTAGCGAAGAGCTCGGCTTTTACAACGTGCCATCGGTTAGCAAAGCGGCCTTACGAGTTTCCGTCGTTGTGGAACTTGCAAAGGGGAAGCTTCCGGCTCTGCGCGGCCCTCAAGCTTGTCTAGCTCCAATCTCTCCGGAACGAGTCATCTATCTCGAGGGACGTTAAGTAAAGGTTCTCTCGTCCATATTATTCTTCTCAAGTTTTTCCAGTCGCTATACACGTCCTCGTCAAGGAACGAACTCTATACGAGAGGCGGATCAACACTACAGACAGCGTCCGGTAGAAAATTGCCATCCCGGCGAGAATGAGAAGGCTCCACCACTTTCCGGGGCTTGCGGGAAAGTTGTACTCGCCGTAGACAATGTAAGCTCCAGTGTGACCACCGTAGCGAGACCCCAGGAACTCGTTTTGAAACATTCCCTGTGAAAGTAACCCACACATCAACAATCCTTGGAATCCTGGAAGAAATCTTTTTACCCGCAGCGAGTGTGCATGGAACGAAATGTAAGACGATGGATACTTCCAAAACGCCTTCGGCAGATTGTTGTCGTGACGAACGTATCCTCCGACCAGCATGAACAGCACCTGTGATCGTTGCAAAGAGTTTTAAGAAAACTTGGAAATGTGGAAGACTGCTTTGCAAACCTGGACGCACGATCCTATTATCATTCCAGTGTAGGCGTTTGGAACAATGCAAGAGATGGCCATCATGAGGCTCTCGCTGACGATCAAGCTGAGGTACAAGTTGACGACGAAGTAGATGAACTTGAGTGCTCCAGAGTGGAGACCCGCCAGGAAGTACATGCTGCAAAGCGGGACGAGGGAGATGAGTAACAGGAATGGAAGCGACGCGATTGAGTTGGCAACGACGAAGTTGGCGACGCCGTAGTGACAATTAACCATTTCTCTCACGTGCATCTGATGCAAATAAAATAAAATACTTCAAGCCACCTCTTAGTTTATGTTTCCAGTTCGTCTACCTTGACCTCGTTGTACATGTAAGGCACGCCTCCAACAGACAGGAACATCATTCCTTCGAGAGCGAGAAAGATGCACGCTGCTCTGGCCTGGGGGCGGGGGGGACAACAGCGAGGATTAGAATATCAACATTTTCGGATCAAACCTCTATAGAGCTCTTCGAGTGATCCAGCCTCAGGAAAATTGTGCCGATTGAAAGCATGTACAGGAACGAGAGAAGTATCCGGATCCAATAAAATCCAAGAGCTCTCGTTGTGTTCAGCAACGATCTGTAGCTTAGAGTGAAAAATTCAGAGCGTGAGGCAGGGCGCTTTATCCTGTTCACCAGTACTCCTCCTTTCTGCATCACGTAGCAGTGTGTTCTCCGCGTTAGTATATAAACATAGAAAGCTCTCGAAGTTTTAAATAAGTCTTGCCTTCTTGACAAGCATATTAACTTTAGAGACCAATGCTGCATTGAAATCGGAACCTTGATAGGACGCTGATAGGAAATTAACTATCTGGTGATGGTCCTCCTTTGCAAAAGCTTCAGCTTTTTCCGCGTCCTGCACGGATTGATTGATACATGCCTTACGAGAATGAGAAACAGGGTACTAATACCTGAACGTAAAGAAATGGAGCACGAAGCTTCTCGAATTCGGCACCGATCGTATAAAGGAAGTGATCACTAGGATTATGATTAGGGGGGCAAGGAAATCCCGCCGTGGAGAAATGCTGAAGAAAAACCACGTAAGTAACATACAGATATGTTTGAGATGTTTACCTCCACTGCTGCGATGTTGTCACCAAAAAACACCATTTTCCCATTGCTTAGCAAGCACAAATCATCCAGAAGTTCATAAACCTGGCTCGAGACATGCTCAGTGCACATAATGACAGTAGCTCCACCTCTGGCCAATCCCTTCAGCTTGATAAGCAAGGAGAGCACAGAAGCTCTAAGAACGTAATATGAGTAACTTAAACCAACAAATATTTGAGAAGTAAAACATACCCCTCCAGGCCTTTGAATGCATCATCAAAGTAAATCAAGCTGGGACCAATAAGCAGCTCCACTGCAAGGTTGACAAGTCTTCTTTCACCCCCACTGATTCCCTTGTGAGGGCACTTTCTAACATATCTGTAAGCCAACTCAGTGAGACCCATTTCTGACATTACGTGCTCTGCCACCGCCAACTTCTCTTTACGGGGAAGGTTAGACGGAAGTCGCAAAAACGCAGACAGAATAAGGTGTTCTTTGACGGTAAGACTGTCTGGAAGAACTTCATCGTCCGGAGTGAGAAACGTCTGAAACAAACAGCAATTCGTGAGGGAAAAAGCAGAAAACAGTCAGCATACAAGGAATTTGTGTGGCTTTGCCAGTATATGCAATGCTAGAGGAGAACCTGAGGATTAGAAAGCATACAGAAGTGCCATATGTGAGCTGCTGCCTTCTTCCATTGATTCGAATGTCGCCTTGGTACTTTGCTTTGCGACATAGCCTCCCTGCAAACATACAAGGAAGCGAGCTGTGAGAAAACCGATGAAACTCTAGTAACACCAAAAGCTCTACCGGAAAGCGCTCGAAGTAGAGTAGATTTCCCGGATTGAGAAGGACCCATGATAGTAAGCATTCTGTATGGCTCTGCATACCCTGCGACTCCATCCAAGACGACCTGAGGGGACGAACTGCGCTGCTCAAAACTCACAGTGACATCTTTCCAGGACAAGCTCGCAGCCGACTCTGTATCGACTTGCGAGAGTGGTATGGAGGACGCACTCTCTGGAGGTGGACTCGTGATGGGGCTGGCCTGGCTTGTCAGCGGAGATGGAGAAGGCTGATACTGAATGCTGTACTGCCGCAAAGGTAAATTATCACCAGTAGGACTCTGCGCCATCTTGAAGCCAGTTGCTTGAGCTGAAAATCTGTTACTCCAGTTTTCTGCTGCTTCCCTGTTTGCTGGAGAATGCTGGGCAATTCCTAAAGTGGCTCGCCTCTAACAGACACTTCCTTCGCCTGTTATCTGGGAGCTCCACTCCATCCTTCCAATCACTCCGTGTTTGAAGATCTTTCATATCTTCCATTCTTATGAGCAACCAGCCGCATTTATCTGAAAGTCCCAAATGCCAGCTTGAGTCCACAAGTGAGCGACTTCCCTCCGGTTATCCAAATAATATCTTCCATCGTAACTGTTAGCATGCCCCTGATAAGACACCAGCCTTCTTTCCAAAAGGCTGGCAGATGTCGAGACAGAGACAATGGTCTTAATCCCTGCTTTTGAATGACGCGTTGTTTTCTTCTTTTCAATCCAGAAACTTTGCCTGTCCGTGTGAATGGAAAAAATAAACCTTCCATCCCTGTCTATCTGACACAAGGATTGACATACGCACCTGTTGGCCTTTACTCACCACCACCGCAGTTTTACAGAACAATTCGGCAGCGGCACCCGGAGAATTATCCGCTGTCTCAAAATTCACGAGCAGCGTTTTCTTGACTTGACTTCATTACGTACATCTGGTGAATTAGTACCTGATAATCTGGCCTGCAGAACTTAGAGAAACATCTAAATTCTTACAGCTCACAGTTTCTTACCAGGTCTACCAGCCGCACAAAATACAAGAAAGGTATATTGTACACGGTCGAACTTGAAAATGCTCACGAATCCATGTCATGGTCATTATCGTTGTCGCCATCGTAAAACTCTTCGTCACGCTGCACACTTTTATCTTGCGTATGTTCTACAGACAAAGCTCGAAAATAAGACTACTGACAAATGCTATACACCAAACTTACGGTCTAGTCGCTCATCGGGATTAAAATCCCCCTCGTCGAAGTCTGGGAAGTAGGTGTCTGGCGGAACCTGACCCAGATTTTAGAAAGGAGAAACACTAACACACTCGCACAAAAAAACAAATAAAATAAAATAGAAACATGTAGTACCTCATGCATCTGGACCCCTGGAGCATGCTGTATATGACGAAGATTTTCCAGCACTTGCATTTTTATGGCGCTGAGATAAGCCTTTGTATTCAAGTTATCCTATATAAAAACATGCATTAGGCCGATAAAATTTTCCATATCATTTTTGAATTACCAGGTTGAGTCCGTGATTGGTTTTCAAGGTGTAGTCGGGCTTGAAATACTTGATATAATCGTTGGACGGTATTTCTGTAAGCCATGTTCATGTAAAGGAAAAAAAAAGATTAATCTGGCATACTTACCATTCGGAAGCTCCGTATCCAAAAGCACACCCGTTTCCACGGTCCAGCAACGTGCAACATTTTCCTTGGTGTATCCTCCTCCACCGGTTACCTTAAAAACCAAGTGAGCTTTGCAAGAGCAAAAAGAAACGGTCCAAAGCATACCAGGAGAGGAATGCCAAGTTTCTTCACAAAATTCACGCACTCCGCATGCCCTGTTAGAATACGTAAGCAAATGTAAGACTGAAGTTGGGAAATAAAACCTTGAATGGAAAGATTAAAGCATCCTAGGCGATCTCCAGCAAGCGAATCAGCTCCACATTGCAGCACCACCGCCCCAGGTTGATAGAACTCAACGACTTTTGATATTACTACTCGAAACAGCCGTATGAAGCTTGAGTCGTCTATTCCATCTTTAAGAGGAACATTAACAGCGTAATATTTCCCTTCTCTCTCACCAACATCCTGAAACGGTAACAATCAAGACGCGTACAAAATAAGGAGAAATACCGACCTTCACGTCCCCAGTTCCAGGAAAGAAATAATCACCGAACTTGTGAAAGCTCACAGTCATTACTCTGAAACGATGGAGGCGTGAGCATGTAGCAAAGCTAGAAAGCGCAACAAACCTGTCAGTGAGGTAGAAGGCTTCTTCAACGCCGTCTCCATGGTGAATATCGATATCTATGTATAGCACTCGCGGGAAGTACTTCAGAAGCTCCAAAATCCCAAGAACCAAGTCATTGACATAGCAGAATCCCGATGCCTCGCACTTCTTGGCGTGGTGCAAGCCTCCGGCCCAGTTGATTGCAATGTCGCAGAGTCCGTGATTAAGCCTATGTGCAGCATCTGCTTAGCATTTTTCCACCATGGAGCATTTATCAGAGAGCAAGAGAGAAGAAGAGACGTACCAATGGTACCACCCGCGTAAATCTGGCAGAACTCGAAGAGGTTGTCAAATACTGGACAATCTTCTCCCATGTTATCTACATCGCACACACATCTAGAAAATCAAGCGACAGAAAACTCAAAGGAAGATCTTACACATAAGAAGCTCTTTCGCGTATTGGTCTTGCATTTCTGGAGTTATTCTGTGAAGAAAATCAATGTAGTCTGTAGAATGGAACTGCGCAAGCTCCGCGGGATAAGCTTTCCGAGGTCTCTGTCGAAAGAAAGAAAAAAAATGCATCATCACCAGACGAAAAAAAGCAAAGAAAACGTACATAGATTTCCATCTTGTGGTGGAGGCCATAAGCTAGAACAAGGCTATGCGTCATACACAAGCGATGGGGCTTCATCGGATGATTCGGTCCATAGTAGACGCTTCCAACATCACCTGGAAGGAATCTCGCGAAATCCGTGAGCCGCGAGAGCTGCGTAACGCGCTTACCGTCGTAGAAGTAGGACACTCGATCCTTCGCCGGTGGCATCGATCGGCCGAAGCGCTTTGACGCGCCCTAGCGCCTAGACACGAAGAAACAAAAACCCTACACTAGTAATAGGTCAAGCAAAGTTCTCACATTTTTATGCGAAGCCGTCTCTCCGCGTTCTTCCGGAGCTTGTGCTGCCGCCAGGGCCGCCGCGCCGCCCCATTCTCATCCTCGCCACCACGAATGGATGCGCCGCTGCCGCTGCCACAGCTCCAAACACCGGTATGTATCATTGGATCCGGCCCCGCTGCCCACACAGCCGCGATCTACACCTCCCGCGCGGAGCTCCAGCCGATCCTCTTCGAGGGATGGATGGCGAACGGCGTAGCGGCGGGCGGGCAGCTCACGACAACGACGGATGTGGAGAATTTCCCCGGGTTCCCTCAGGGGATCATGGGAGGGGAGCTTACGGAGAAGTTTAGAGAGCAGAGTCTCCGGTTTGGGACGAGGATCTTCACCGAGACTGTGGACAAGATCGATCTCTCTAAGCGGCCGTTCGAGATCTCCAGCGAGGAGAGAAAAGTCCTGGCGGAGACTGTGATCATCGCTACCGGAGCTATTGCCAAGAGGCTCGACTTCAAGGGCTCGGGGGAAGGAAGTGGTGGATTCTGGAACCGCGGCATCTCGGCGTGCGCTGTTTGCGATGGAGCGGCTCCACTCTTTCGAAACAAGCCCCTGGCAGTGATCGGAGGTGGCGACTCCGCCATGGAAGAGGCTTCGTTTCTCACGAAGTATGGCTCCAAGGTCTACATCATCCATCGCAGGGACGAGTTTCGAGCCAGCAAGATCATGCAAAAGAGAGCTTTCGACAATCCAAAGATCGAAGTTCTTTGGAACACCACCGTGGTGGAGGCCGTTGGTAACGAGAGTGGCAGCCTCGCGGGGCTCAAACTCAAGAACACCGTGACGAACGCTCTGACGGACCTCCAAGTTTCGGGATTGTTTTTCGCGATTGGGCACGAGCCGGCCTCAAAGTTTTTGGGTGGTCAGCTCGACACAGACAAAGAAGGATATATACTTACTACTCCAGGAACCACAAAGACCAACATTCCTGGTGTGTTCGCTGCTGGGGACGTCCAAGACAAGAAGTATAGGCAAGCGGTGACTGCTGCCGGTACCGGTAAGTTTTATAATCTCTTTCTTTTGTGATCACTGCTAAACTTTTTGATTCACAGGATGCATGGCTGCACTGGACGCGGAACACTTCTTACAGGAGTATGGAGTCCAGCAGGGAAAGTCGGATTGACAATGACAGGGCTCTAGCCGCCTATAAGCTCGCAAAAACGGTCTAGTTTTTCTAAGGAGGCACTCTTTCATTGTTTGCTCCTCTTCCTTCTCTTTTTGTTACGAGGAGAGAGGTTTCTGGCTTTTGAACGAATTCTTCTTATTTTTCTAACTCCTTTTCCCAAAGCTACTGGTAAGTAACGTGTGATTCGATCTTTCTGACAGTTCGGTGTTTACATTCCAGGCAAAAAGGCTGGCTTGTTACATACAGTTATATGGCTTATATATATTATAAGTCGATGGAATCAAGTGCATTGCCTGGGAGCAAAACCAACCCGAGACGAATCCAGATCAATGGCGACACGCATAGTCTGCTGCTGGATGTTCCCGATAATGGACAGATCCAACGAAGTCTTCGAGAAGGCAAAGCAAAACGTCCCGGACGTGTCAACCGGCACTAAGTAGTTACTCGGCGGCAACTGGACGCTCGCCCCGCCTTCGAAGTGGAAAGACACAGTCGGGATGGTGACGGAGGTCAGGGCCGAGAAGTCATAGCACGTATCAAACAGCGAGAAGTCGGCTGCCCGAGGCAACTTCTGCGTCGCCGACCGGAACGCGTCCCTCATGACCGTATACGCGTACGTCGGCAGCCGGGTGACGGAGGTGCCCGAGTCGATGATCACGCCCCCGCGTCCGGTGCTGCTCGAGAGCTTGAAAGCCGTGGAAGGGATGGACAGAAGCGTACCTCCGATGCTGATCCCGGACAGGCCAGCGTAGTAGAAGGTGTCGAGCTTGGGATTCTTGAGCAGCTGCGTGTAAGCAAACGAGGCCGAGGTGGGAAGAGCCGAGTCCCCGAAGAGCAGCGCGCTCGAGGCCCGGACGCCATTGTCGCGGCTGACGAGACAGTAGGAGAACTTCCGGCTGGAGAGCTGGGATGGAAACGAGAGCTTCCCAGCGCCGAGGCCGAGAAGCCCGGCGGCGCCAACGAAGAGTCCCTCGTTATCATGGCCACAGCCGAAGACCACCGGGCTCGTCCGGCCTCGGCTAACCGAGAAGGAGTCCGAGGCGAGGTCCCCGACGGTGAAAGAGCCGTCGCCGTACGAGACCTGGTAGAGGCAGCGATTGTCCGTACTCGCGCAAGCTTTGACGTCGAGGAGCTTGCACTGCGGGGTGGAGCACGAGAGGCGGCGGAAGGAGGAGGACGCGCGTGGATCGAAGACGGCGTCGTTTTGCTTGTAGCAGCTCTTGCAAGGCGAGCACTGGATCCAGGGGACGTCGCTGCCGGTGTCCATCACCAGGTACTGGAGCTTGGTGGGCGATCCAATGCCGACGCGCACGAAGTACTCGCCGGATCCAAACGCGAGGCCGGACGTGACCTGGCTGCCCGAGGAGGAATCGGCCTCGGATTGCGAGAAGACGGTGGCGGGCGACGAGGATGCGTTGTGGACGAGCGTGAGATCGCGGTGCTTGACGCCGTTGAGCGCCATTTCGAGGCGCTGGGCGATGGCTTCCACCCGCGCGGCGTCCATCTTGAGCCGCGCCTCGAGCACCTCGCGGTGGGATCTGGTGGAGTGCGCGGAGAAGTGGCTCGAGTGGACGATGGACATCACCTCTTCTTCCTTCTCCGCTACTGCATTCTTCTCCTCCTCGTCGATCGCTCCTTTGGCCGGGCGATGGAGGAGAGATTGGCGCACCGCGTCCACATCCAGCACTGTGGATTCGTGGCTGCTCTTGAGCAATCGACCGCTGCTACCAGCAATCGCAATTGGCGTCGATCCGGCGAGGAAGAGAAGAAGAGCAAGCGCCAGCATGCACCACGCCATTGAATTCTCTTCCTAGCGCCTTCTATCCGCGACTGATTGATCCGAGCGAGCTCGGCCTAGTACTAATGATTGGAATGGAAGCAATGCATCGATTCAATGATCTCAAATTCTCTCCGCCAGGGCGGGCATGCATTCACTCTCTCGCCAGGATCAGCTTGGGAGGAGCTGCCGCTGCCCTGCCCCCAGGCTTTACAAAGGAGAAAGAAGGGTATTTTCTTACTGTACACCAGTACGGAGGTATATGGGCTTGACCCGATTCGATCCCGTGACCCCTGCTTTTGTTTAAAACCTCTTCGGAGTCTTAAAAAAAATTGGAGCGACCACAAATCTGGTCTTCGCCTTTGGATTTGTTAACGAATTTCTTAGATTTTTTCGTGGCACCGCTATTGAGAATCGTAACCAAACCACCACTTTGGCCAAGCTTTTTGTTAAAAATACGATGATCCATCATAGCTTTTGTATAAGCGGTTGCTTCTTTGCTTTGTGGATGGGAGGCTTCCAAAAGGGAAGTCTTGATAAAAGGCAAAGGTGGTGGGCTTTGTAAAGCTGGAAGTGGGGAGGGCCCGTGAGGAGCAGCAGAGATAATGCAGAGCTCCAGCTGGTTTCACAGTCAGGCCTCGCGCGCAGGCTAATGAATGAATGCAAAGGAGGAAAAAAATGGCTCACGCACCATCGTCAAATCCACCAACAGCACCTCTCCTATGTGCCAAGAAATGAAAAAGCTGCTGCTGCTGCTGCTGTTCCTGTTGCTGCTGCTGCTGTGCAGCCCCACCAAAGAGAAAAAAGAAAGAAGAAAAAAAAGGAGGTGAAGAAACCAGATCAGAGCTCAAAAATGTGAAAGATGGTACGGTACCTTCATCTTTGTTCCCAAATCTCTGGTGGATTCCTCTTTAGCATCTGGAGCACGAAAGCCAAAAGAAAAAGGAGGGGATCGAACGCGTCCGCCGAGACGGGATGAAACGTCAAGTTTGCTCTTCTGTTATGGCTTTGTCCTCTGTGTTTGCTTGCTGCTACTGCACCTACGAGATGGTAAAGGCTGACAATAAGAAACAAATGCGAAAGAAAGACGATACATTTCATGGAAAACTTCAGCTTGCTCTGCTCCTCAATGCAAACCGATTGATTTCGACTGCTCACTGGTCATATTCTTCTTTGATCTCATCCTCCTCGCCTTCAAGGAGAGAGGAGGTACTTCTCCATTCATTGCCAACTACACCAATCAAACAGTCCCAATCGGTCAGTGAAGTTCCAAGTTTTATCTCAGACTTACTTGTTGCGGTCCGAGACGCAAAGGCGCTCGTCTCGAATGATGGAACTCGCTGCAACACATTTTCCAGCACTTAAAAAAAATGCTGAAGCAATAGAATGATTTCTACCAGTATCGCCAAGAGTGGTGATCCACTCGACGAGCAAAGAGGCGTCTCTAGAGAATCAACTTTAAGCACTCAACTCGAGAGTTGAGATTTCTTGAAAGCAACAGCTGACCATGGAGGCTTTCTCCTGATAAAAGAAATGATCTAAGGACAGCTTGGTCTTTGTCTCCTGGTAAGGTATCCAACTAAGACTGAATAAAATACTTGAGCTACCTTGCTGTGTTGCGCTAATAGAAGTGTACGTAGGTAAAATATCTATCTCGCTGAATGGTGGAATACTCTAGGATGGCTATGTATTTGCTTCTTTCTGCGAACACGATTGATTTCATTAGTTGCAATAGATTTTAAAAATCAAGACACTGGATAGTGCTTTCCACTCGACAACAAAAAAACTTAAAAAGTTTGAGAACAAAAAGCGAGGCTTACTGGCTACCTAGAGAGCAGAGACGATCTCAAAGCTGTGTGAAACCAGATCGTGTGTGTTTTCGAAAACAAAACTGCCTCGAAACATTGATCCTGCTTCACAGACAAGAGCTCAGATAAAACAAATACCGTGCACTGCTTACCTTGAAGAAAGTGGGGGTACCAGATGGGATCGTCCTTCCACATTTTGTCTGGAAAAGAAAAATAAAAAACTAAGAAACCGAACAGTTCCAAAGGTCAATCTTACCAAAGGGGATGTCTTGAGTTAAGAACCAACGCGGGGACATTTCTTCTGTTTCGCAAGGATCGCCAACAAAATGCTCGACATGGTAAACATGGACCTAAACATGAACAAAACGGCGAAGTATTTACACAAGAAAACTCCTGAAAGCCGCCAATCTTACCTCCCATGGCACTGGCTTGTCGTCGAAATGGAAAGTGAGAATGCCACGCTTGTCCATTTTCGTGGGAGTAATTCCAGCTTCTTCCTCCAGCTACAAAACCAAACCACATTAATAAGATTCTCACTTTCTCGTGCCTATAAAACAGCCCAAACAAACCTCTCTTGCCGCCGCCTGTTCAATCGTCTCCCCGTCCTCTACCTTCCCACCAAACCCATTGAAATACCCTTCTCCGAACCTACACACGAAAACTTAGATGAGTGCCAGAACCAACAAGCACAAAGCCATACCCGCGCTTCTTCATACCAAGAAGAACTCGTCCGTCCTTGTGAACAATGGCCAAAGTCAGAAGCTTCACTTTCGCCTTGGCGGTCATCGCCATAGCAAACAAGAGCTTTCGTCTGAATGGACTGCGCCCTACCAAGGGCGAACTCCTCGACTTTGGTGCCGGACAAGCAGAGGGTATCCAAGGAGCCATCATATCTACAAAGATTTAACCGGCTGCTGCCCTGGTGTCTTACTGGTCCCGTATCGAAAGTTCGTGTTTGCCTCTCTGTCACACATACTATCACGGTCGCAGTCGTCGTAACAGCCAAAGGTCTATCACTTTCGAACGTTTCCCAGCATCCACCAACCAAGTAGCCAAATAAGCTAGCTACCTATAGCTTTCTCCATCTCCGGTGTCTCACATTCTCGCAATGCTGTCGGTCGATCTGATGCTTCGGGGTAGCTTTGAGAAAGTTGTAACTGGGCGGCCATTTCCTCCTATCGAACTATATAGTGATTCGGCTGTTGTTGTCATCAATGTCTTTTATCTCGGCTCAAAGATGCGGCTCCAACCAACACCACGGGGCCGAAACCAATCCCTCCGTGACAGCCGCCAAGAAGCTTTCAACTGACTCACTGACTGCCCGAGTAACTCCCGCTACGAAGTTGTGTATCTGTGTAAATGCGTCTTTGTCGTGTGCCTAGACTATCGTTGCGATTTAAAGTGCCACCCAACCCAAAACTGACTGACTGCTGTAGTGTTGGAGTGTTTTTTTGTTCTCTGCCACCCCTGTTTTGTTAGTTTCCTCAGATCCGCAACAGAAAGATACTTAGCTCGGGTCCCCCAGTTCCATCCGGATTCATCATGTAAAACGCTTCCGAGTCCTTTGATCCCACCACCCTCTCGAAGCGGGCTCTCATATACATGAGCTCGCCATCAGCCCCTTCCTCGTCCATTGGCAAAACCCCGGCACCCATCGAAACCGCCTGGACCATCCTCAGTATCTGTAGATCTGAATCGGAGCAAATCCTCCGCAGAGCGTAGCCACTCTTCCTGCCGTTGCAGTACATCGTCCACACTTGCTCCAGGAAGAGCTTCCCCCGATTCATCGTCCTCTCGCATTCTAGAGCAATCCTGACAAGCCCGGACGCCATCTCTTTCACCAGCGTACTCGTTGGAGTGGTAAGTTCCAGCAGCAGCACTGGAGGTGACTTTGGATCCTCTTGCACCGCGAAGTGGACATGGCCTTTCCTGTTGCCAAAGAGAGTGCCAGTGACGCGGCTCCCTAGAGCGGAGGACTCGGACGGCCCTCCGGGAAGTGACATCCGGCGGCACGCGATCTGGACGGGCAGGAAGTGGAAGAAGGAGCGGAAGGCCGAGAAGAGCTTCTTGTGGCGATTGGATGTGGTCCTGGAGAAGGGAAACATGGCCGAGAAGGCCGCGTACTTGGAAGGATCCCTGGAACTCGGCGAGCTCTCCAGCTTCTTCTGGTCCGATGCTGCGCCATCGCTGCCGCTCTTGGATTTCGACTTGTCCATGGCGATATTCTCCTCTCCCTTCATCATCCCGGGAGAGAAATGCGGCGACTGGCAGCCGATCACGACGATTGCCCTTCGATCCCGGAAGAAAACCGACCGAATTCCCTCGAACGGACGAAATTCCAGGCACTAAGCGGTGGCAGCTCCCACGCCGACGCGAAATCTAATCTGGGATCCAAGAAACGAGCAAGAATCATCCAGCTCTCTCGCGAATGCTGCCGATTGCCGATAATCTAGCTAGAACAGTACCAGCGCATCGAGATCGATCGAGGCCGAGGCTCTTCGTCGTCGTCGCCTCCGCCTGGCTTCTCCCCAAACGCCAATTTAGAGAGGAAATAAAGTACCCTAGCCTCCCATTGACCCCCATGGTTTAGTTAAGCCTTCTTTAGTTAACAGTGCCGTTAAATGACAGCATGATGATACATTAGATGGCGTGCATGGATGCGCATGCATGGATAATGATGTTTTGGGCCATGGCCCATTAGGACATCCCATACCATGATCTAACAACAATGTATAGATTTATCAAATGATCATAGAATTATGTTTTCAAGCACATGCAAGCGTAAGGAGATTCCAATTGTTTAATCAGGCGGGTTGGCTAAGCAACCAACAATGCTATTAAATCAGACTATTATACACGAGAAGAGCTTTTCTCTCGGCTTTTGGCCTTAGTTTAGAGCCGACGCTTTGTTTTGAGGTGTTTGGAGGAACACGAGGACGAAAGAGCGGCGAAAAGAAATCCAATGTATGTGCTTCCAATGTTCGTATTTTCTCGCACACTATTCTCTCCCGATGGCTCCCAGCCTTGTTTTTCTTCGCTTTATACTTTTTATCTAGTGCTGGATTGCACCAAACTCTTTCATGTGCAAGGTCGATCATGTCCAGCATTTAAGCTCCCTTTTTCTTTAGCAAAAATCCCCATCAGGATTTCCAAACCTATGAGGGTTGATGCCGCAGGGAATCGAACACTGACGGATCCATTCACCCTCACGACATTCCTGCTGCTTGGATCGAGCATTCAAGAGCTCTTCAGGCATTTGTTAAAACCCATGGTACTGTACCCCCGGAAAAAGTGGTACGGCAACTAGAAAAAATGGAAGCTACGAAGAAAAAAAGCCCCACGAGGAAAAAACCTGTTTGGTACCACTCGCCTGACTCACTTGTTTTTTAAATGTGTTTTTCTTCTGAATTCTATATTAGTGAAGAAAAAATATTAAGATCTGGTCAGGAGATGATCTGATCTATATACATTCTAGACGAGCTATAGTTCTGTCCCAGTTTCGTCTTGTCTGCCTAGGCGTGAAGTGAAGGTTCCTTTTTCCCCATGCTGCGCCTGCGTCCTTTTGTTCCCACACATTTTATGGATTAGTTTATAATCTCTAAACTATGATAGAAGATTACTATTTAAATGTAAAGGCCTTTAACTTTTAAGAAGTGACCTTGCTGAAGTCTAGAAGCCTTGTGATATCCAAGGTGGGCGCAATGTCTCCAAGTAGCATGGCCACCACCCACGACATTGCCGGATGGGCCACTGCAGATCAACGAAATTGTCAGCACCCTCTGCAGCTCTTCCTTTGGGCATGTCTCTGGAACAAGTTTCTCGTCGACAGATCCACCCATCGACGCTCCTCATATAGCTCCCAAGCCCGTTGAAAATGTTCACTCATGAATGAATTCACTTAATAGAGTTTTTACATTCCAGCAGAAATGACTTTGCTACCCGGCCCTCCACGTGTAGCTCCAGCCTTACACTACCGTTTTAGCAACCCCCAAATTTTAAACCTAAGAAGAATTGTCCTCGTGAATTCCACGAGCAACTCCATGCAAATGTTGTAAGATTTGGCCCACAGGATGTTGTTGGGGCCTGCCTCAAGATGTATAATATATTGGAGTATTGCAACATAATATGTAGACTTAAGACTACTCGTAGACAAGAAGCTGGTGTTCTCCTAGTTGGAAATAGAGTGAGCTTTTATTTGCAAGCACTTGATGGCAACTGGTCCAATTTTTTGTACATTTCACTGATTAATACAAAGTTACCATCTACACTGTTGACTCGAATATTCTTTGAATATTCTGGTACAATAAAAAATATTTTGTTAAGATTTTAGCGGCATTATTATCTGTATTAAGCAGATATTTCAAACATAATTAATAATTTTAAAAAGTTTTAGATCTGGGTAAACTACCAGTATTTAATTTTAGCAGCAATAGTTGCTATTAATAGAGGTTTTGCGTCCAAATTTAAAAACTAATTTATTATTTTAATATTAAATTAATAATTTTTATTTATAATAAATATATAATTTAGCATTCTATAATATATATTTATATTAAATAATTTATTATTAGCATAAAATAAGTGTAATTATAAGAATTAGCTGTGATTTATAAATAAAACTTTAATTTTAATTATACTAAATTTGAATAAAATATTAATATTTAATTCTTTTTCAATGTCACAAACACTTTATATTTGAATATTGCAAAGTGATGAATCCAAAGGTTAATATTTAGATCCATCCTAAGAAGTATATTATATATAAAATATATATATTTGTAATAGATTTACTAAAAATCTAACATTGAAGAAAGTATGTGCAAGTGTAATTTAAGTGTTAGTTGATTGTGATGTTGTGAACCTTCCCATTTACCATATCATTTTATAATTGAGAACTGTATACTTTTGTTGTATTGCTATTTTATGTTGACACTTTTTTAATCTTCACCTTCAATTGTAATGTCTTTAAGTATATTGCATTTTCTTCCTTTGACCAAATATTTATAATCTTGTACATTTATTATTTTTATTTGTATAACTTCTTGGGAAAAGCATTAAGGTTGAGCTTGTAATTGTGGTTGTAAAGTGTTCTCTTCAAATTTAAAATTTACTTTAATTAAAATATAAAACTCTAAGCATTTATATATATTAGCATTAGTATTATATATATTAATCAAAGTTTTGAGAATATGGATTTTAGATTATAGTAAAACAATAAGAATATGATGTTATTTTATATGTTTTTGTAAGGTAAAATCAGTTTAAACCAAGGTTGATGTGATATTAAAAACTTCTTAAAGTAATTAGAACATATTCTAAAAACCTTGAAGGCTCCAATTCACCATAAATATATGCACTTATATTAGTTCGTAAAAAATATGACAAGAGAGCGAAGAAGGAAGAAGAATTCAAGAAAAGTCATTAGCATCAGCCATAAAACTCCCAATGTGAGACATAAATCCCTAAGCCCCAAAGTAGAGCCGAAAAGGTGCCATATGGTAGTGGTCGAAGTAGAAGTCCAACAACTGTAACATGTTTGAACCAAAAGCTCTAACTTGGAAAGCTGAGAGCGGGAGTGGAACTCCAAACAAAGTGCTCAAAGAATAAACATGAAGCAATTAGTGAATGAATCTCTAAAAAGAGATCCAAGAAGGATTAACACATGGCGAGTGTTGTGACATATGGAAGTGTTAGGAACGAATCCAAAATGGGACTCAAGAAAGAGTCTGAGATGGAGTCTAAAATGAAGTCTGAGAAGGAATTTGAGAAGGAGTTGAGGAGTCTAAGATGGACCCAAAATTGACTTGAGATGGAGTTTGAGATGGACACAAGATGGAGTCCAAAATGGACCCAAGATAGAGTTCGAAATGGAGTATGAGATGGACCCAAGATGAAGTCCAAAATGGAGTCCAATATGAATCCGAGATGAACCCGAGATAGACCCGAGATGGACCCAAAATGGAGTTCGAGATGGACTTGAGATGGAGTCCAAGGTCGAGTCTGAGATGGACTTGAGATGGAGTCTAAGGTTGAGGCTGAGAAAGAGATCAAGACTGAGACCAACACTGAGACCAAGACCAAGACCGAGTCCAAATCCGAGTTTGAGTTCGAACCGAGTCCGAGTCTGAGTTCGAGTCCAAACTCTAGTGGAGCCAATTTGACTAGGAAAGGCTAGTGTGACCAAGGAAGGCTAGACTTTTGTGTTGGGTGATGATATAACCATTAAAGAGTCCAAGGATAGAATGAATACGGACAAACAAGTGGGGTAACTTAGTGAAATGTTCAAAAGTCAGCTTTAGCTCCCTTAGGAGATTGAATGGTCAATACTTTTAATACAATATAAGTAATATCATCTACTTTAATACTTAGTGTGGCTTATCAAAACCTTGTTTTAGCCATATGGCTAAGGCATTTAAAGGTGGAAAGTGGGGAGAATACCCATGAAGTTTGCATAGGGCCATAGTGTTTAGAAATATCATCCCAAAGTCCCAAACTATGGAAAAGAAGAAGAGCAATCTTCTAGTGTAGTGACCAAGGATATAGTTACATGGTGAGGAAGGCCCAGAGGACAATGGGAATTAGTGGTCAGGCTTTTTGGTCAGGCTTTTGGGTGTTAACCCAGTGGCAATCTTAACGAGCAAAACCATGGATGAAGAGGGACTTGGTGAGGATAGAGGAAGAGTTATTAGGGAAGGGCGTTCTTTATATCTTTGAGCATCCTAAGAGTGCTAAAATGTGGTCAAGGGATGACCACTCATGGATGGATTGCCTAATTTTTGAGAGATAGAACGGTGATGCAAGTGGTTTTGGACTATCAATATGACAAGGGTGAATGAGCATGGCCTTAGCATAATAGGCTGATATATCAATAGTACCTTTAGGTGTCAGTCATGGGCTCAGACATATGAAGCACTTGGACCAAATGCAAAGTTTAAATGGCATAGATGCTATTCATAGGGTTAGCATATCCCCAAATACTGAATAGGACTTATGGAGGTTGTGAGTGAAACTCCTCCAAATGATGAAATATGTGGTTAAGTGACTAAAGTAAATGGAAAAATTACTCACTTACAATTTGGTATTGGAGCTATTCCTTAGTCTAACACTTATTGACAGTTAAGTATATCATCATTTGATAGTGATATTTGAATGTTGCAGAAGTGGGGTTATACTTGAGGAGTAGTAGGTCAGGAAGATATAGCACTCCCCTATAGTTCATGTGTGAACTGGTAGGCAATATGGTGGATAGAAAGGGGCTAATAAGAGAATGATTTGGGATTTTAGGAATAGTAGAAGATTTTTTGAGTTAAGGATGTGATCTATAATTTAACTTAGTAAATTGACTAGTATAGTTGTGGTAAACAACTACAATTGAGATTATGGGAATAATGGAAACTCTTAGATGATAAAGGAGTCATAAGGTTATCCTCATATAGTTGAGGATGGTGTTTAAAAATTTAGACTGGAGTTGGTGATAGTAGGAGGTCAAATACGGATAAAGACATAAGTTCTTGAAATGGTAGATAGGGCTACCTTTAATAAATGTTGGAACAACCTAA